TCCTTTCTTAGGTAGAATAATATGGTAATAGATGCCCCTTTGCATCTCTCTCTCTGAACCCACATGCTGTGTGTTTATATTATATTACATCACAATTGCACTGCCTCTTTTGTGGGAAACTAAATCCATACTCGTAGCTACTGCTTAACATATAAAAAAGCCATGGACTTGGAGTTAGTGTATTCTAACTTGGATATATAATTCATTAGTTGTATCTTCTACAAAACAGCCTCTTTTGCTTATTTGGAAATAAAAGGGGCTTGTCTTTTGGTATAAATAAAATAGAAAATATTTATTAGAGCCTGTCTTTATTAGAGCACATGTTAATATCAAAGTCTGTAGCTTTGAGGATTAGTTAACATAGAGTTTCCAGTTATTGATTTCTACTTTTTGACTGTTTTATATTTTAGGAGCTAAGTTATTTTCAGTAAGTTGAAATACAGGTCTCCTCTCCCCAACTCCCCTTATCTTGCATGCAAACCCCATAAGAGCAGAGACTTTATCTGTTTTCTTTACAATATCCCTAACTTCTAGAATAGTACCTAGCAAATAATGAGTGCTCAGTCAATGTTGCATGAAAGAGGATATTTCAGAGGAACTGAAGGTTTAAGTATATATGACTGGTGGAATAAAAAGAGTTATTGCAAGAAATTGAGGTTCTGGGAGAATAGTTACTTCAGAGAGAGTTCAGTTGAGTATGAGTGCAAGAGAAAGAGGCCTATAAGATGTGAGAATATGGTATGGGGTCAGATGAGAAGTCATATAGGATGATAGAGCATTAAGAATTATCACAGAAGTAACACAAATCGAGCATTTCTTATTCAAAATGAGTGGGACTAGATTGTTTCAGATTTCAGATTTCTTTGGATTTTGAATATTTGCATTACACTTACCTAGTTGAGCATCCCACATGCAAAAATTTGAAATCTAAACGCTCAAATGAGCATTTTCTTTGAGAGTCACACTGGCACTCAAAACATTTCAGATTTTGAAGCGTTTCAGATTTCTGAATTAGGGATACTCAATCTATAGTAGAAACCCTTTGAGGGAAATCTGTGATTCTGCCACTACTGCCTGTCATTTGGGTTCTGGTCATACTTCCCAATTTACAAAGTTTATTCACGTAAACCATTGAAAGAGAAATGGCTTTCAGAGTGGATGGACTCTCTGAAAGAAGAGAATGTGTGTGGAGAAGAACATGGGGGTTAAGAACTGAAACTTACTTCCAGTAATGGGGTAGAAATTAGAGCCATCATCATGGGTAAAGGAGAAGTTGTACTGAAAAAAATTAAGAGGATTATTGAAAAAGTGTGATTATGGAAGCCAAGGTAATAGAAAGGTCAAGAGGTAAATGAAGCAGTTGACAATTTAAAGTGTAGAACAAAAATTAAGGACAATGATGAATAATTTAGCTCTTAGGAAATTGCTGGTTACATGAGAGAGTGAAACTTCCATGTAGTGATAAGAATAGGGTCATATTGAAGTGGAGAATGAATGTAGAAGAAATAGAGGTAACAGCTATAAACTGGCTGCTTGAGAATTAACAGTGAAAGAATCTAGAAAAAACACGTGGCTCCTAGATGGGTTATTAGGGTCACATGAAAGGGATGGATTTTTTTCCCCAGGTTAATGTTTTCCCTACCCCACCTTCCTGTTAATTATCTCCTATCCCTGTTCCAGAATTAACTTCATATGCTAGTAGTTAAAAAAAAAAAAATCCTTAACTACTAACATAGTTACAGAACGGGATCTAAAACATACATATCAATTTTGTACTCATTATTCTATTTATACATTTATGTAAATTTAAGAAGAGTCTCCTTTGAATTTAAACAGATGAGAGGAATCAATAAAATTAGAGTATTCAATTTATTAAATAGTTTTAACATGAAATATTTATGCAGATATGCTACTGTGTCTAATAATTTGAGACTCTTTCTTGAGTAAATATGTATAAAGAAGTTATTTTAATACTTTTACTTCAGAATAATACACTCTGTGTGTTTGGTTTGATTAATGAGCCTGGCAGATTGGCAAGAGAGTGTCTCGTTCTCTTCTCTATATGGGGAGGATCTAGAGCCATTTAATACTAGAGAGAGTGAGATTGGTCCTTCCATATCAACTGACATCCTCTCAATTTACCTTAAATTTCTTTGTGATAAGAACCTGAACTCTCCTGAGCTAAATAAGAGAATAACTGATATATTGGAAATGGGGTAAGAAAGGCTAGATAAATGTGATTATGTACAGGGTATTTACAGAATCGGAATTAACTTTAATAATTTCTTTCTTAATTAAATTTTTAAGAAAGTGAAATCTTTTTTTGTCAATCATGCCTCGTAGAAGAGGTATTAATCTTGAATACGTTTTAGAGTATGGTTTTAATTTTGGCTATCCACTGTAATTCAATCATAAATACAAGGAAATATGATTGGGAATTTTATTATCAGCAGTTGACATAGGGAAAATATATATTTTAACTATTAAGCAACATTATGGCTGTATAAAAAAATTACCCATATTCTTGCCTCCCCTAAACAAATGTTAGAATTATTCCATCTTCCCTTCTAGTTTTTATCCATATATATTCAGAAGATTGAGAAGGGAAAGGGAATTCTATTCTTATATTTCCACTTAGCTATAACACTCGTGGATAGACTTTAAATAACCATAATTTTCTATTGTATATCAGATTTATGTTTCCCATTTCTATTATTAAACGCTTAAGTGATTTCCAAATTTTTCTGTTCAAAGTAACACTATATTGATTTTCTTTGTTTCTATAAATTTTTATTTATTTCCCTTAAGGTAAACTCTCAGGAGTAGTTTTACTCAGTCAAAGGATGTGAAATCATATATTAGTTGTTATGAGCTATTATGTAACTTGCCCAAGGTGACACAGCTAGAAAATGACAGAACTAGGATTAGAACCTAGCAGTCGGGGACCACGTTCTTAACCAATGTGCTGCACTACTGGCTCAAGAGATCCCCAATCCCATGTCACTGATCTGGATCATGAAAGTTTAATATGCATCCAATTCATTTATCAAAATTATGGCATGAATTTGCTGTGTATGAGACACTGTAGGGGATTCAAGAAAGAACAGAATTTATAAGCCCTGCCTTAAAAGCCTATAAACTATTTGGGAGAAGGGAACAGAAAGGTAAGAAAGTACGATAAAATGTAATGAGTTATAGAATTAGGATGCTGTATGAAGACAAAGAAAAGAGTAGCAGACTGAACGAGGGGAGCCTAGTGTAAAGAGGCTTCTAAGTAGTGTTGGGTTTGCTTAAGTGGCCTGAATCAGTTCCTGGGAAACCAAATTGAGCAAGTATTGGAGTGTACTGCCGGCATCAGAAGACCATAAAGGCTACGTGGAGCTGTAGAGAAAATAAGCATGTAGAGAAAACCTGAGCAAAGTTTACTAAAACTTGGAACCTGGACTAAAAAATTAGCTCTGGAAATTAAATTATGGCTGAATAGACGTTGAGGACTCCAGAGAGACTTACTGCTTATGAGATATGTATTTACATTTGAAGGGAGTGAGGAGTGGATGATCCTCTAGACCACGGAAGTATTCCCTAAGTTGTAAAACTCAGAGACACTAGTCTTATCTTTTCCCTAGGAAAATTTGCTTTTACTCAGGGATAGATTCTTCCTCCCAACCACCACCCTGCCCCAGCCCGCCCCACCTTCTGGTGTCCAGAGAGGAAGAGGTCTGTTAATACAAGGCTTACTGTATAACATCCCAGATTGATATTTTCAGGGTTCCTTGCTGAGTTAATTTCCTATTGCTGCTGTCTCAAAGTGCCACAAATTAGTGGCTTAAAACAATACAATTCTTACAGTTCTGGGGTTCAGAAGACTGTAATCGTTCTACTGGACTACTCTAGGTGTTGGCAAGGCTGTATTATTTTTGGAGGCTCCAGGGTTGAATCCCTTCCCTTGCCTTTTCTAACTCAACTATTAATCCTGTGACTCATTTTAGGAGCTAGGCACAACTCTTAGATCTGGGTTTGGCAGTAGTAAAGGCAACTCACCTAGACCTGTCTTTGAGATAAACACTCACCGTGGAATTAGATCTTAGTCTTCTAGATCTAACCACAACTCCCCTCAGAAGGTATTATACTGTGTGCTGTGGTCTGAATGGGGCATTGGAGGGTAATTAGATCATGAGGTTGGAGCCCTCAGGAATGGGAGTAGTGCACAGTGACATGGTGGGAGTAGTTGCCCCTCTCACCATGTGAGAGAACACAATGAGAAGGCCTCTGAGGAACGAGCCCTTACCAGACACTGAATCGCCTGGCACGTTAATATTGGACTTACCAGTGTGCAGAACTGTACTGTGAGAAATAAGTGTTTCTTGTTTATAAGCCATTCAGTTTATGGTATTTTTTTAGTAACTCAAGCAGATTAAGACACTGTAAATATAATCCTTATTATTTTAAAGGTTAGCTGATGACCTTGGTGGAGAAAATTTTCTCTAGATTTAGTCTCAGGTTTACATATTACTTTCTGTCCTTAAATTAGTTGCCACTGATATAGTAGTTGTCACTATTAAATAACTATGTATGCAACAAATAGATCAGAGCAATAAAGGAAGAATTAAAAATTAGTGTGCAATGCTTAATACACCCTTAGGCATCTATATAATTGACATTAATCTGTAAATTATCAGTGTTTTCTTTTCCTGTCCATTCCTCACCCCTTACATTTCTCATCTTCCTTTTTTCTTCCTTTTCCCTTCCTTTCCCTCCCCTTTAATTAGCAAGTAGTATAAATATATTTACGTTTATTTTTCTTAGTATTGTTGTTCTAGAATAGAGTTTTTAAAAACTAAGAATTAATCATTCAAGCTGTTGTAAACCAGGCCTTCAGTATAAATTGGATTATTAGCTTAGAAGTAGAGTTTATCTTTTAAATGTGTTATCTTCAATGTATTTCAAGGTAGAAAATAAGTGATTTTCATCCTTTATTTTTCCCTTCCTTTCCATTTTAGGACTTTTCTTGGTAGAGATGGAAATCCAAATAAACGGAATGTGCACAATGAAACATCTATGCATTTGTTGTGTATGGGACCTCAAATTATGATATCTGAAGGAGCCCTTCATCCTCGCTTGGCACGCCCCACAGAAGATGATTTCAGAAGAGCAGATTGTCTGCAGATGATCTTAAAATGGAAAGGAGCAAAACTTGACCAGGGTGAATATGAGAGAGCAGCTATTGATGCTGTTGATAACAAAAAAAACACACCCTTGCACTATGCTGCTGCCTCAGGGATGAAAGCCTGTGTAGAGGTAAACCTTTTCTTTTCTTTTTTTTTTAAATATTCTGCATTGTAAAATTTGTATCCAGGTAATATGTAATTGTCAGTATTTTTTTTTTTGATTGTCTTAGTAATTTGGTCTTTTTTTTTTCTCTTTTGTCTTCTAAAAGACTCTTAAATAAAGGGCCTCTTTTTTTTTTTTTTTTTTTGAGTTGGAGTCTTGCTGTTTTGCCAGGCTGGAGTGCAGTGGAATGATCTTGGCTCACTGCAACCTCTGCCTCCCGGTTCAAGAGCTTCTCCTGCCTCAGCCTCCCCAGTAGCTGGGACTACAGGCACGCACCACCACGCCCAGCTAATTTTTGTATTTTTACTAGAGACAGGGTTTCATCATGTTGGCCAGGATGGTCTCAATCTCTTGACCTTGTAATCCGCCCACCTCAGCCTCCCAAAGTGCTGAGATTACAGGTGGGAGTCACTGCGCCCGGCCAAGGGCCTCTTTTAAATAAAGTTATTTCGTTGTTTTAGTGAGGGAGAAGGCCCCACAGGTGAACAATCACCTTTGTAATGAAGTGGAGTCAAGAGCAATTAAAAATTTGTTAATATCTCTTAAGATATTGGTCATCAATTAAGCACTATCATATTGAGAGTCATAGTTATAGTAGAAATATATTCTGCTTTTTTGCTGATTTTTTTGGTCACCAATTTATAAAATTTATACATGTTGAGTATAGCAAATTTTTGGCAAGTGAGACCTATAGTTTATGTAGAATTGAAGCGCTCACTAAGCAACGGATAAATATTAACGAATACATTTATTGGAGTCTTTTTAAAATCACTTGGAATTTTAAAACATGTATTTTTCTGTTTAATTTGCATTAAAGTGCTCCTGAATACATACTATATTATGTTGTAATTTTTTCATATGTATTTCGTGTATAAACATATAACATAATATATACAAAATATTTAACAACAAATTAGATAAAATCGCGCATATGAGATCTTAACTAAGTTAAGAAATCATTATATAGTATCGTCACTACCATACATAAAACAGAATAGGTTTTTCTCAGCTACCAACATTCATATCCATCCTTACATATCTCATAGAAGTTCTTTTGCATAGATGTGTGTAAGTATGTGTGAGAAGCGTATTAGACTGGATTACAGAGTATCTTTATTACTAAAAGTATATACCTTTATTGGAAAAGCAATTATCATAATCAAATTAAAATATACCTGAAAATTTCTTGTTTCCTTAATGTTGTTCATGTATACTTTAGACTTCTAAGTAGATCAGTATGCCAAAAATATGAATATTCATTTTCTTATATTAGAAGATTACCATCACTTATATTATTTCTTCAGGATATCTGAAGGGTCAGTTCTTGCATTTCTAATATGCTTGTGATCTTATCTTTTGTTTATTGCTAATGTTTGTGATACTTGTTAATCTTTTAGAGTCTTAGTCATTTCATTGAGTTTGTATAACCTTTACCCATTAGTTAGTGATGGTCATTAACTTGAAACTATTTTTCAAGCAATGCTTTTTGTTTGTTTGTTTTAAGAGACAGGGTCTCTCTATGTTGTCCAGGCTGGTCTCAAACTCCTGGGGTTCAGCGATCTCCCTGCCTCATCTTTTGGAGTAGCTAGAACTACAGGCACCCACATGCCACCAAACCTGGCCATGATGTTTTCTAACATTGATACACTGTGGTGGAGGAATCTCCTAGGATTTGGAGGGTAGGGGACTAATAGCAGAATTCCTAAGGCTTTTTACACAAGCTTCTCTGTACATTGTCCTATGTTTACCTATTGTGGAAGAATTCCTGCTATAATGACTCACCATTATTGATGGGACTGCATTATATTTCTCAAATGGACTGGAGTAGAAAGTAGATTTTTCTGGATAGTAGCAATAATGCTCTTAAATATTTTAAATAGGCCAGGTGTGGTGGTTCACGCCTGTAATCCCAACACTTTGGGAGGCCAAGTCTGGCAGATCACAAGGTCAGGAGTTCAAGACCAGCCTGGCCAATACAGTGAAACCCCATCTCTACTAAATATACAAAAATTAGCTAGGCGTAGTGGCAGGCGCCTGTAGTCCCAGCTGCTTGGGAGGCTGAGGCAGGAGAATTGCCTGAACATGGGAGGCAGAGGTTGCAGTGAGTCAAGATGGCACCACTGCACTCCAGCCTGGGCAACAGAGCGAGACTCCATCTTTAAAAAAAAAAATATATATATATATATTATATATTATATTAAATGCTTTAATATCTTCCAACTTTGTAAGCATTGCTTTAGTAGTTGTTGATTTGGAAGTATGTTGACAATGACATACTTATTAAATTGTTCAAAAAATTGAGAGTGGTGTTTTTACCAGCGTTATTTTTTGCTCAGTGAAAGAAATTAGTGCCAGGTTTATACTGTACTATCTGGCAGGCCTGACAATTTGCTTATGTATGCGTGAGCATGTGAATGTGTGTGTGTGCTTTAACTTTTTGACCTATCAGCATATCACATCACATATACCACAACATTTGATGACTGTTTTCATTTTCTGTATTTAGAAGAGCTCTTTGACTTAATATTAAATATAAAACATTCTAAAAGGAGCCCTATAAATACCTTATATTTATTCTGGTTTTTATAACATTTCAGCGTATTTTATTCAGATAAAGCTTATCTTTAATCTCTTATATATAGTTGATTATATATACTCTTGTCCAGCCTTAGGCCCTTAATTATTTTTTATTATGCATACTGCTAATTAAACCAGAAGAGTTTCTCAGGGAAGCATATATTAACTATCTCCAGAAGCCTTATTTTTTTTTCTTGTACAAGTGCATACAATAAATACAGTTGTCACTTGGTATCCAAGGGAGATTTGTTCCAGGACTCTCTGCAGATACGAAAATCCACAGATGCTCAAATCCCTTATAGAAAATGGCACAGTATTTGCATATAACCTACACACATCCTCCTTATACTTTAAATTGTCTCTAGATTACGTATAATACCTAGTACAATATAAGTGTCATTAGGGAATAATAACAAGAAAAAAACGTGGATGTTCAGTATAGACACAACCATCCCTATTTGTTTTCGAAATATTTTTTACCTGCTTTTGCTTGAATCCAGGGATGTGGAATCTAAGGATGTGGAAACCACAGATAGAGAGGGCTGACTATACATTAAAATATGTGACCTGTTTAACTGTACAACTTAATTCTTAGTATGAGTCTCTAGTTATTGTCAGGTGGTATCATACTACTATGATGAACAGGAAAGGCTTAGATGTCTCTTACAAAGTTTACTATCATGGTTAATTTAAAATTTTTTTTTCTAAACTTATTTCTTTATATCATTAGTTTTAGTCATTGGCTGTAAGAATAGTTATAATAACTAACATTTGTATAATGCTTTCTAATGTTTATAGTGCTCATTGGTACTAAGCATGATATAAAGGTTTGGGTTGAATGAAAGAGTGTCATCAGATATTTATTAATGTTTCATGAGACTAAGAGATTATATGGTGGAGGGAGCATTGATTTGTAGTCTTGGTCCTCAGAGTAACAGTCTGTGGAACCTTGCATGTGTCACTCAGCTACTGTAATAGTTTCCTCTTGTGTGGTTGGAATAGATGATCTTAGATTTATTTGGAAGATTCCTTTTAACACAAATTCTCTATTAGCCTGTTATTGCAGTAAAATATATCCCATTTTTAGTGTCTAGCCTTTAAGATCAAAGAGATTATCTTTTTTTCCGATTGTTAGGGCCAACCTGTTTCTTAACTACATCTGTGGAAGTATATCTTCTTTAGTTGTTGAAAATGTTTTTCTCCCTGGTATATTTATTTAAGGATAGAGATGATGAAGTCATCGTTGGCATTTAATAATTTAAACAGTTTCTTATAGCTCATTATTTTGTACCATAGAAATAAAATATTTATTTTAAAACTTCCCCATCTCCCTGTAATAATTATGTTCTGTAATAAGTGCCCCCACACACATACACAGAGAGAACATAAAATTAAAACCCCTTAATTATAGAGTTCTTCAGGGAACCTCCAGGTGTGAAGGTATCACACGGTATGTAGAGAGTTGCATTGGTTATCTGTGTCACTGATGCTTAGACCTGACTTCTCTGAACTTCTTCATGCTGTATTGTTGCCTGGTTGACTTCCTCATATGGATATCCAACAATCTGTCAAATTAAGCATTTTAAAAAGTGTACTATCTTCTTTTCTACCCAGTAGAGACTTCACTAGTGCTTGATTCTTGACTCTGGATTCTATTAATGATGCTGCCATTATCTCCTTATCCAGTATTGATACCTGCACTTACCTTGGGTCTCCCTCTTTTTTTTTAATTACATCAAACTCATACTACCCATGGCAGAGTAGACCTCTGTCTCTTTGGACCAGTTCCTCTGTTTACTTCTGTGGCCACTTTCTAACATCAAGTGCTTTGTGTTGAATCCTCACTTTGGCATATTTTTCAGAACTCCCTTACACAGAAAATCCTGGAGTTTCACAAATTAATTATTCTAAATTATTTGTGAGATAAAAATAACACAGAGGACTAGTCTACAATTGTTTGGAAATTGGAAATGCTTATATGATAAACATTTATTAAGGACAGACTATAAATAAAGCACCTAAAATTCTAATTTTATTTAATATTCTAAAAATTATTTACAGGTCAGCAAACTTTTTTCTGTGAAAGCCCAGAAAATAAATATTTTAGGCAACTCTGACATTGTACCCTGAAAGCAGCCACAGACAATACAGAAACAAAAGAGAATGGCAGTGTTCTAATAAATCTTTATTTATGGACATCACCATTTGAATTGCTTATAATTTTCATATGTCATGAAATAATTCTATTTGTTCTTTTCAACCATTTGAAAATGTAAAAACTGTTTTTAGTTTGTGGGCTATACAGAAACAGGCAGCAGGCTTGATTTGGCCTAAGATGACTCCATACTTGAAGCTTATTTTAAATACATAAAATGACATTATCAATATGT